CTTATTTTGTCCTTCAATCCATTCAGAAAAATGCCAGTCAAATAATCCTGCCTTATACCTTTCAAGAATCCTGCATATTGCTCAAATTGTTCAATATACTCTCCCACCTATCCAATTGGTCTAAGCCCAATCAAGACTTCAAAAGGATTTTGAAGCATTGTTGGTTGGAACCGTTGAACAACTGTCTCTTTGAAAGCCCCCCATGTGGGATTCAGATAGCAAGTCTCTCACCACTGGAACCAATTCAGGGCTTTTCCCTCCAAAGCCACCATAACAACCCTCATCTTCTCCTCCTCATTAACTTCTTTCAACAGGAAATATCTCTTCAACCGGTTAGTCCAGCCATAAGCATCTTCTCCTATAAAAATAGGAATATCTAGCTTCCTCCATTTTTCCCCAGTCAGTCCTGAACGTCCACTTTCAGTCCCTCCATCAATCTTGAGATTGCCTACACTGCCTTCTTTGGCAATAGAAGCACTATCCGCTGTTTGTTTATTAGAGGATGTGAAACATTCCACCAACCCTGTCAACCTTGTAAGCATTTCCTCCAACCTTTGGAACCTTCTCTGATTTTCATGTTCCTGTTCTTGCACTATGCACTCCAATCCATCCAATCTTGCCTCCATTCTCGTATTGACCATGCCGCACAGCCACCACAGCACCAGGAAAGTGGCTCTGATACCAATGATAGACACCCAGATTTATTTAAAACTGTAAAGATTTCCAAGACAAGTTCTTGGATGTTCACCCAGAAAAACTAGACAACTTTATTAACAATGAAACAAGCACAGTAATCTAAATTGTTACACTAGCCCTGGTCTTTCGAGAGGTCCAGACTCTTCCTAGCCTTTCCTTTACAAAACTTCCTAAAAAACTGCTAAAAACAATTGCTTACATAGACTTTATAAAAGTCTGAGACAACAAAACCTACCCACAGTCAGTTATAACTGTTTGTTCCTTTTATATCTCCTAATAAACTAAATCATACAATTTTTCTTCTGCTGAAAACCTTCCCTTTGTACCTATCACAAAGTCTTAGCATGTGGTTTAGGCCTAACTCAGCAGACAGCACTAAAAGCTAGCTCATGGAATGAGGGTATATACTATTTATGTATTATCTTAGTCAATGTTGGACTTGAGTCTTTATTAATACAGCCCTCACGCCCAATACTTGTGGATAATGTGGTAGGTGGGCCAGTAACTGATCCAAGATAAACTTTGTTATAAATTTAGAATGGAAGTTTGGACCTTGGTTTTTTACCAAAACTTAGTAATGTTGTTGACCTTCTGAAAGGTAGCACTTTAGTAAATTTGTTTCTGCTACTGGCTAATTTCGGTAGTGTTATTATTTTATTAACTATTTTCTGTTACATATTACAATTACAATCTTATATACTTTTATCCTAATCTTATACAGAAATTCCTATTTGGAGGAAGGTTGATATTTGGACCGGATGCTAGGTCACTTCTTGTTACCTTGCTGCTGATCATTGTTCCAGTTATCATCTTTTGTGTATTTGTAGCAAGACATCTTCGGCATGAATTTTCTTCATATAATGCCGGATATGCTATTTTGGTGGTGGCAGTTCTCTTTAATATTTATGTAAGTTTTTCTGTTCTTTGTCATTTTATGCTTTTATAGTTTTACAGTATGCTTACTGAGATTTGTTATTCTGTAAGCCCCATGTTCCAAATTTAAAATAGGTTATTTCTTTATACAGAACTTTCTACTGTTTCGTCTAAATATTTTTCTTGGTTGGTTTTCCATTGATATATCCCTTTATTATACTTCTTCTCATAAGTAGACCATCATTTCTTGAGAAATCATGTATTGAAAGAATTTTTTAAGAGAATTGTTGTCTTAGGTTCATAGATGTCAATACCAGATAGTGGTGTGGAGTTGTTAGGTTCCTTTATTCAAGGAACCGAACAACAGCTCTATGCTCACACACACTCAACAGTATAAAAGAAACATGTATGTATATTTATTTCTATTTCCTTTGTAATGTGTAGAAAAGAAAATACAAGTATCAATCTCTCTCCCAAGGAAGCCTCCCTTCCTCCACTGGCCAAGAGGTCTAGTCTAAATCCCAAAATAATCTCTGATACCCCTTCTCTCTATTCTGTTTGTTTATTTATACCCTCTCTCTCCTCTAACAGAATAGCCTCTCTCCTCTAACAGACTATCCCCTCTTCCCGCCTCTAACTTTCTCCCCTTTTATTCCTCCTCACATATACTTTTAATTGTCTAACATTACCCTCCTCCCCAAGATCAACCTTGTCCTCAAGGTTGAAGTCAGGGAACTGCTGTCGGATGTAATGTTCCTCTTCCCAAGTAGCACCATCTAAACCACCCTCTTGCCATTGTATTAAAACTTGGGGTATCTCCTCCCCTTGTTGCTGCTGGTTCCTGCGCTGTAACACTTTTAGAGGAGTGTACATGGGTCTGTCATCTTGCAGTTCAGTTGGTAGAGTTCCTTCCACCGGATGATCTCCTATAGCTAGCTTCAATTGGGAAACATGGNCATCTAATATCTTTAGAGTATATTTCCAGTAATCAATTTTCTAAACGTAGAATATATTAGACATTGTTTCTAATTTATTTTGTTTACTTGTTTAATGTGGGTAAATTGAATAAATTTCAACAAAACAATGTATCAAAGTGTAGGCACCCAGATTTATTTAAAATTGTAAAGATTTCCAATACAGGTTCTTGGATGTTCACCCAGAAACACTAGACAACTTTATTAACAATGAAACAAGCACAGTAATCTAAATTGTTACACTAGCCCTGGTCTTTCGAGAGGACCAGACTCTCCCTAGCCTTTCCTTTACAAAACTTCCTAAAAAACTGCTAAAAACAACCGCTTACATACACTTTATAAAAGTCTGAGACAACAAAACCTACCCACAGACAATTATAACTGTTTGCCCCTTTTATTTCTCCTAATAAACTAAATCATACAGTTTTTCTTCTCCATGAAGTTTCACCTTGTCCCCAAGGTGAAAAGCAAGGAACTCTATATTGATGGCTGTTGCAGATTCCAAGTTGTTTTGAATGGATGAGAGGTGTTTTCAACTGTACGAACTACGTTCTTTTTTCCTTATTTTGTAAACTGTATCAAACTTATCAACACCCGCTCCATGAAGGTGCACCTTATCCTCAAGGTGAAAGTCTGGAACTTCTTTATGAATGCAGGCAGCAGATTCCCCTAACTCCTGAATTTCCTCTTCCGAAATATGAAGCATATGGAGCTGTTTATTTTTGCAAGTATGATTAGGCCCAAACTTTTCATCACACTTGAAGCATAAGCCCTTTTTTATCTTATCTTGCAATTCTTCTTGGGACAATTTTTTAAATGGTGCCCCTCCTTGTTGAGTCCTAGCAGGAGAACTATTGATGGTGCTCACACAACCACTGCTCTCTCCACTTCCTCTGTTGGAGTTAGTAAAACTCACCGAATTTCCCCCTTCCTTGGACTAACTGCGAGTAGGTGGCAATTGTCTGTAGGTGTTACTTTGAAGTTGCACAGTGAGAGAGTCCCCCTTGGTGGTGACTCTAACCTTTTCCTCCACCATTTGAGCCTTCATCATTAACTCAGCAAGGCTCTTGGGCTCATACAACTTAACCTCTGCCCTTATTTTGTCCTTCAATCCATTCAGAAAAATGCCAGTCAAATAATCCTGCCTTATACCTTTCAAGAATCCTGCATATTGCTCAAATTGTTCAATATACTCTCCCACCTATCCAATTGGTCTAAGCCCAATCAAGACTTCAAAAGGATTTTGAAGCATTGTTGGTTGGAACCGTTGAACAACTGTCTCTTTGAAAGCCCCCCATGTGGGATTCAGATAGCAAGTCTCTCACCACTGGAACCAATTCAGGGCTTTTCCCTCCAAAGCCACCATAACAACCCTCATCTTCTCCTCCTCATTAACTTCTTTCAACAGGAAATATCTCTTCAACCGGTTAGTCCAGCCATAAGCATCTTCTCCTATAAAAATAGGAATATCTAGCTTCCTCCATTTTTCCCCAGTCAGTCCTGAACGTCCACTTTCAGTCCCTCCATCAATCTTGAGATTGCCTACACTGCCTTCTTTGGCAATAGAAGCACTATCCGCTGTTTGTTTATTAGAGGATGTGAAACATTCCACCAACCCTGTCAACCTTGTAAGCATTTCCTCCAACCTTTGGAACCTTCTCTGATTTTCATGTTCCTGTTCTTGCACTATGCACTCCAATCCATCCAATCTTGCCTCCATTCTCGTATTGACCATGCCGCACAGCCACCACAGCACCAGGAAAGTGGCTCTGATACCAATGATAGACACCCAGATTTATTTAAAACTGTAAAGATTTCCAAGACAAGTTCTTGGATGTTCACCCAGAAAAACTAGACAACTTTATTAACAATGAAACAAGCACAGTAATCTAAATTGTTACACTAGCCCTGGTCTTTCGAGAGGGCCAGACTCTTCCTAGCCTTTCCTTTACAAAACTTCCTAAAAAACTGCTAAAAACAATTGCTTACATAGACTTTATAAAAGTCTGAGACAACAAAACCTACCCACAGGCAGTTATAACTGTTTGTTCCTTTTATATCTCCTAATAAACTAAATCATACAATTTTTCTTCTGCTGAAAACCTTCCCTTTGTACCTATCACAAAGTCTTAGCATGTGGTTTAGGCCTAACTCAGCAGACAGCACTAAAAGCTAGCTCATGGAATGAGGGTATATACTATTTATGTATTATCTTAGTCAATGTTGGACTTGAGTCTTTATTAATACAGCCCTCACGCCCAATACTTGTGGATAATGTGGTAGGTGGGCCAGTAACTGATCCAAGATAAACTTTGTTATAAATTTAGAATGGAAGTTTGGACCTTGGTTTTTTACCAAAACTTAGTAATGTTGTTGACCTTCTGAAAGGTAGCACTTTAGTAAATTTGTTTCTGCTACTGGCTAATTTCGGTAGTGTTATTATTTTATTAACTATTTTCTGTTACATATTACAATTACAATCTTATATACTTTTATCCTAATCTTATACAGAAATTCCTATTTGGAGGAAGGTTGATATTTGGACCGGATGCTAGGTCACTTCTTGTTACCTTGCTGCTGATCATTGTTCCAGTTATCATCTTTTGTGTATTTGTAGCAAGACATCTTCGGCATGAATTTTCTTCATATAATGCCGGATATGCTATTTTGGTGGTGGCAGTTCTCTTTAATATTTATGTAAGTTTTTCTGTTCTTTGTCATTTTATGCTTTTATAGTTTTACAGTATGCTTACTGAGATTTGTTATTCTGTAAGCCCCATGTTCCAAATTTAAAATAGGTTATTTCTTTATACAGAACTTTCTACTGTTTCGTCTAAATATTTTTCTTGGTTGGTTTTCCATTGATATATCCCTTTATTATACTTCTTCTCATAAGTAGACCATCATTTCTTGAGAAATCATGTATTGAAAGAATTTTTTAAGAGAATTGTTGTCTTAGGTTCATAGATGTCAATACCAGATAGTGGTGTGGAGTTGTTAGGTTCCTTTATTCAAGGAACCGAACAACAGCTCTATGCTCACACACACTCAACAGTATAAAAGAAACATGTATGTATATGTATTTCTATTTCCTTTGTAATGTGTAGAAAAGAAAATACAAGTATCAATCTCTCTCCCAAGGAAGCCTCCCTTCCTCCACTGGCCAAGAGGTCTAGTCTAAATCCCAAAATAATCTCTGATACCCCTTCTCTCTATTCTGTTTGTTTATTTATACCCTCTCTCTCCTCTAACAGACTATCCCTTCTTCCCGCCTCTAACTTTCTCCCCTTTTATTCCTCCTCACATATACTTTTAATTGTCTAACATTACCCTCCTCCCCAAGATCAACCTTGTCCTCAAGGTTGAAGTCAGGGAACTGCTGTCGGATGTAATGTTCCTCTTCCCAAGTAGCACCATCTAAACCACCCTCTTGCCATTGTATTAAAACTTGGGGTATCTCCTCCCCTTGTTGCTGCTGGTTCCTGCGCTGTAACACTTTTAGAGGAGTGTACATGGGTCTGTCATCTTGCAGTTCAGTTGGTAGAGTTCCTTCCACCGGATGATCTCCTATAGCTAGCTTCAATTGGGAAACATGGAATATAGGGTGTATTCTTGATGTTTCTGGTAACTGCAAGCGGAAAGCAACATGTCCTATTTGTTTCTCCACCAAGAATGGTCCATAATACCTTGTTGAAAGCTTTGGGTGTAACCTTGTGGGCATAGATGTCTGTCTATGAGGCCTGATTTTAAGGAATACCCAATCTCCTTCCCGTATCTTGGCTTCCATCCTCTTCTTGTTGGCATAGTGTGTCATCTGGTCTTGAGCCCTGGCCAGATGGTATCTCAGTTGTGTCAAAGCCTCATCACGGGTTTGTAAGTCTTGTGCAACTGCTTCCACCACTGTTTCTCCAGGTATGAAACGTGTGAGAGTGGGAGGGGGTCTTCCATACACAGTTTCAAGAGGTGTGCATTTGGATGCTCCTTGGTAACTAGTGTTGTACCAAAATTCCGCCCAAGGCAACACTAGACTCCAAATCTTAGGTAAGTTCCCAGCACCCTATTCAAAACTTTAGTCTGCCCATCCGTCTCTGGATGATAAGCCGTGCTCATTTTCAGCTGTGTTCCTTGTAAGCGGAAAATCTCCTTCCAAAACGCACTCAAGAATGTGGAATCTCGATCACTGACAATGGTCATAGGTATCCCATGAAGTCTAATCACTTCCTTCACAAACACTTCAGCTATTGATCTGGCTTTATAAGGGTGTTTAATTGGGATAAAATGCCCATATTTGCTGAGTCTGTCCACCACCATTAGTATCGTGTCAAACCCATGAGATTTGGGTAATCTTACTATAAAATCCATGCTAATCTCCTCCCATATTGCTTTGGGTATAAGTAAAGGCTGCAACAATCCTTGGGGAGAGGCCGCCAAGTATTTGTGCTGTTGGCATACTAGACATGCAGTCACAAAATCTGTAACTGTCTTCTTCATTCCCATCCAATGCAGAGATTGTGCCACCCTCCTATAGGTTCTATAAACCCCTGAATGTCCTCCTGTGACACTACTGTGGAATTCAGCCAACAATCTAGGTATCCAAATAGATTTTGCCGACAAGACAAGTCTCCCCTTGTAATGCAATCTTCCATGCTCCAACGTGTATGCTGGATGAGAATTAGGATCTGCCCTTATTTCCTCCAGCACCTTCTTTAAACTCTCATCCTTCTCCACCTCCTCCATGATTTCTTGAAATTCAGACCAGTATGGTCTAGATATCATCTGTAACACCTTGTCTGCTTCCTCCCCCTCTGCTCCTTTCCTGGATAACCCATCAGCCACATGATTGGATGCACCTGTCATGTATTTGATTTCAAATTCATACCTAAGGAGCTTAACTAGCCAACTTTGCTGGCTTTGAGTGGTAATACGTTGTTCCAGTAAATAACGTAAGCTCTTTTGATCCGTAAAGACAACAAACTTTTGACCCAATAAGTATGGCCTCCAATGTTGTATAGCAAGCACAAGCGCCACAATTCCTTCTCATAGATGGACTTGGTCAAAGAAGACTCAGATAACGCCTTGCTAAAGAAGGCTATGGGTTTGTTTTTCTGTGATAGAACTGCCCCAACTCCTGTACCCAAGGCATCACACTCTACACAAAAAGTTTGATTAAAATCCGGTAGAACCAGTACTGGAGCTGTAGTCACAGCTTCTTTAAGCTTTTGCATAGCCATTGCTCCTACTGTAGACCATTTAAACATCCCCTTCAACAAATCAGTGAGGGGTTTAGCTATTCTCCCATAGTCTCTAATAAACCTTCTATAATACCCAGTTAGCCTGAGGAATCCTCTCAGCTCCTTGATACTTCTGGGCTTTGGCCATTCCAAAACAGCTCCTCCCATGTCTTGCTATAGACGAGTATATCGTCAAAAAATACTAACACAAATCTCCTCAATAAAGGTCTTAATACTGAATTCATCATGTCTTGAAATGTGGCTGGGGCATTTGTTAGCCCAAAAGGCATCACAAGAAATTCATAATGCCCTTGATGTGTCCGGAAAGCAGTTTTTTGAATATCTTCACTCTTCATTCTTACCTGATGATACCCCGCCTTCAAATCAACTTTTGAAAAATAGGACGCTCCTTGGAGTTCATCCCGCAGCTCTTCAATGACTTGGATAGGATATTTGTCAACCACATTTACTCTATTTAATGCCCTATAATCCACACAAAACCTCCAACTTCCATCCTTCTTTTTCACCAGTATTACTGGACTAGAGTAAGGGCTGTTACTGGGCCTAATAATGCCCCAATTCAACATCTCTTCCACCTGACGCTCTATCTCAGTTTTCATTCCATGGGGGTACCTATATGGCCTCACATTTACTGGTTCACTGCCTTCTTTCAAGGGAATTCTGTGGTCGACTCTCCTCTCAAGTGGTAATCCTTGGGGGTCTCTAAATACCCCTTCAAAATCATTTAGAATTAGCTTCAACTCTGCCTCCTCATCTTGAGTTAAGCTATTCTCTTCTATCATCAATTTCGTTTGGCTCAAGCTCCAAACTAGAGTCATAATTTCAATCCCTTTTTCCTTTATGAGTGCTTCTGGACTCACCACTCTACGTGTCAAAGCTGGATCCCCCTTTATCTCCACTTCTTTCCCTTCTTGCTCCACCTTCATAATGAGTTGTCCCTAATCCACTTTTATCTCTCCTAGGGAAGCTAACCAAGTAATTCCCAATATCACATCCACACCGCCTAATTCAAAGAGAGATACAATTTATCTCTGACTTCCAAACCTTCTAATATCACGGGGACTCCTGTACAATACCCACTGGTCACTTTCTTTTGCCCATCCCCTAAACACACTTTATAAGGGCGTGTGTCGGTGCATTCCAAACCCAATTCTTTCACCAATCTGGTGGATATAAAACTATGACTAGCTCCACTGTCAATTAGCACCAGAACTCTCTTTCCCTGTACCCAACCTTGCAGCTTCATTGTATTAGATCGCGTGAGTCCTCCGACGGACAACCCCGACAACTCCATCGTCATTTGTTCCACCTCGACATTCTCCTCTGCTTCTTCTCCAGCCTCCTCCGCCAATATCATGACACGCATGCTCCTTTCAGCACAGCGATGGCCCGGACTGTAAGGTCCGCCGCAGTGGAAGCAACGTCCTTCTTCTCTTCGCTTAATATACTCTGGGTACGACAGAGTTCTGACTCCCCTTCCTGCGTTTCCTCCTCCGCTACTACCCGCCTTCGAATTCACGGTATTCAAAATAACGTCCTTCTTCATCCCTTGCCCTCCGCCGCCGTTCACAGACCCTTCCGACGGGCCTCGAAAAGTTTTCGTTCTCGCAACCATCTCGGAACTCGCAGAGTATCTTCCCCACGACACCCCTCCTTTTCCTCCGGCAACACTACTCCCCCGCGGTATCAACCCCACTTGTTTGACGTCTCGAGCTCGCTCCATTGCCGCCAACAAGTCGCGTGGGTCGTGTGGTCTCACTAGGTTGCGCAATCCCTCCTGCAAACCAGCGAAAAAATACCCCAGTAATTGCTCTTTAGTTACTCTGGTTGCTTGCGCCACGAGTACTTCGAACTCTTGGATATACTCATCGACGTCTCCTTTCTGTCGCACGACAGCCAACTTCTCAAAAACAGTGCCCCGGTTCACTCCTCCGAACCTTCGCATTAGCGCCTCTGTAAACAACTTCCACGTTGGGTGTCTAGTTTTCTTCCGCCAGAAACGGAACAAGTAGTTAGCGCCTCCCTCCATACATATATAAACCAACTTCATCTTCTCTTTCTCTGTCACTCCCTGGATGTTAAAAAACTTCTCAGCCTTTGCTATCCACCCCGTGGGTTTAGTACCTTCAAAAGTTGGGAGCTCAACGCGCTTCATCCAGCTGGGTTGTACTTCGCCTCGGTCGTCATCCGATTCCTCCTCAGAACTCTCTGATGATCGTCGTTCTCGATTGGCATTTACAAAATTTCGACTCCCTTCAGAGCTCCGATCTCGGTTTCCAGAGCGTCGTCCGAAAGCTCGTCGAAACTCGAGAGTCATCGCTCGCATTTCTGCCTTCAACTCTTCCACCGTCGATTCCATAGCCACCATTCGTCCCTTCGAACAGATCCGGTAGGTCAGACCAAATCTGTTAGGTTCCTTTATTCAAGGAACCGAACAGCAGCTCTATGCTCTCACACACACTCAACAGTATAAAAGAAACATGTATGTATATGTATTTCTATTTCCTTTGTAATGTGTAGAAAAGAAAATACAAGTATCAATCTCTCTCCCAAGGAAGCCTCCCTTCCTCCACTAGGCAAGAGGTCCAATCTAAATCCCAAAATAATCTTTGATACCCCTTCTCTCTATTCTGTTTGTTTATTTATACCCTCTCTCTCCTCTAACAGAATAGCCTCTCTCCTCTAACAGATTATCCCCTCTTCCCGCCTCTAACTTTCTCCCCTTTTATTCCTCCTCACATATACTTTTAATTGTCTAACAGGAGTACTTTGCTCCAAAAGTGGCTTGGTAGAGATGGCTACAATTCCAAAGTAATGTATACAGGATAACTATCTATTCCACAAAAGTAAATGCTCAAAACTAAAACAATAAAATAAAACACTAAAATTAAAGATTTCTTAATCAGTGAAGTCACGGTTTAAATACATGATCATCTCATCATCACCTAAGGCACAATTTACTATGCAATATAGGAAAGTGAGCAATAAGAATAGAAGTTTGACTCATGAGCTATGAAATAAGGGTCTGTGAGGCAAACAATTTTAGCTTTAAGAAGCAGCTTTTCCCCTAAAGCACTTCTCTTGGTTTGTTATAAACAAACCTTGCTAAGCACAGGCAAACTGAACCAAACTTAGCCAAAGATACAAGTGAGGTACTGGCAAATGGGAAAACACAGTCAACAACTCAGCTCATAGAGGAGAAGCTACAAGAACAAAGGCCCAAAGATCCAGGGCAAAGTGACGCTGGAATAAAGACACGATGGTATGAAAAAGATATGAACTTTAACTGTTAATAACTGGTAGTTCGAAAAAATTACTGTCACTGGAAACTGAAAGTAACACGGAAGGCACAAAACAAAGGAGTTCCAAGAACTATGTAGTATAATGGGTTTGGTAACAGATAATGGTACCTCTAAATATTATTGAGAGAATTTTTTTGGCTAAATATGTTTTGCTATATTGGTTGATTTCCAATCAATTAAAGAGTAATTTCAATTGACCCAAAACTAATCTTTCTGTTAATCATTCTTTTTTGGGGAAAAATGTCTTACATTAGCTAAAAATATGGTCAAATTGTACTATACAAGTGAGGGATAGACCTCACCTTACAATCCAGTTAAGGGTGATTGAGGTTTAACCTACATTCCAAGATTATATTAGAACCTATTCTAGATCCATTAAGAAAAGGTCATCTATTAGGGATGGCAACAGAACATTCAGGTTTGACTATACATGATATTATCACGAATTCAATGTCAAATGGACACACGTGTTCTTTCTCTTTATTGCCAAATAATGTGAAAGAAATTATGATTATATAAGCTTCAAAATAGAGTACCAAGTAAATTAAAGATGTTTTAATAATTTAAAACAGGGAGAAGTATGGTGGTGATAGAGATGAGACAAATATGTTCATAGCCATTTTCATCATATTTGATTTTAAAGGTCAGATATTACCCATACTCATCTTTGGTTAATTAAGGTATTCCTTGTCAAAATTAGGAGAGTTTGGAAAATACCCGTGGGTAAATGTTTATTTGACATCCCTATCACCTACCATGTTATCTATCCATGCATCAAGTCCCATATTGGTGGATGTGTGGACGTGTGCTTGGAAAAATCTGTCCCACTCCAGCTAGATATATGGTTGAAATATAGTATATAGGTTGGGGATATTTCTGAACATATTCTAAGAATTCTAAATTAATTGGTAAAAATATAAATGACTCTTTACTGTCATAAATTTTTATTTTCTGCATCATGCAATGATAAATCAGTAAGTATGTAGCCTCTCTTTCTATGTCTTTCCAGCTCTTATTGTTTTTTTGTTTATTTCGTGCCATCTTATGGTTTTTCAAATTAGTAGCTTACAAATTGAAGGAAAAAAAATATCTGATGAACAAAAAGTGTGATTAGAAGGCAGTTTGATATGTAAAGAATACAGATAGAAGAGATGGAACAATTTAAACAAAAATAATGAGGTCAATATTGAAATCAGGATTAGGTAGCAATTGCAAAGCCTGCCAAGGAAGTCTTTCACCCAAAACCAGGCAGACCTTGATTCCCACATTGACAGATTCACTAGTGATCATGCTTGCAACCCTTGTATTATTCCATGGAAACCCTTGTCATTATTCCATGGAAACCCTTGTCATTCTTTCTGACCTGAGTCTGAAGTATAAAATTCTTTCCTATTATAAGGCACCACAAAGGATGTAATGATCCCTAATCTATCCCATCGACCTTTATTTCTTTATTGAGCCAATATTGACCAATTGCTTCTTTATACAATTCAATAAAGAACGGTCCATCATCCTGAACTACAGCTGTTGAGGGTTATAAGTGAAATACTAGTCCTTTGAAGAATTTTTTCGGGATGGAATAAAAATATCATGGGTAAATAATAATCCAAGAGACTTGTTCTCAAATCCAAGTAATCTTGTAAAGCATGTGATCCAATCAAGGGGATCAAATTGATTATGAAAAATTAAGCTTAATAAATTAAATTTAAAACAACAATGATGTGTTGCATTTGCTATAAATTAGATGGTATTCTTAGTTCCTCTCTTAATAAAAAAGAAATTGTAACAATAGAGAGGTTCAGATGCTCACGATCTTTTCCCCAGATAGTGCCAGCATAAAAAATGTACAATGCATATATTGATACATTTTCTTTTCATTTCTTTTCTTTTATATTTTCAAATATTTGCGAAGGTTGTAAGCTGTTTTGGTGATCACATTTTCTTTCATTTAAATATCATTTTTAGGGAAATTCCTTGTCTAGTTATTGGTTGTCTATAATCTTTTTTGTTTTAATATTTTTGTTTATAGGTGTTGATTCTTCTCTTTCTTACTTCCTCACGTGATCCGGGTGTTATTCCAAGGAATTTACATCCACCAGAGGAAGAGTTCCGTTATGACTCTTCAGTTTCAGTTGATATTGGGGGTCGCCAAACTCCAAGCCTTCAGTTCCCTCGAACAAAAGAAGTAATGGTCAATGGTCATCCCGTGAGGGTGAAATATTGTGATACTTGTATGCTGTATCGTCCACCTCGTTGTTCACATTGCTCCATTTGCAACAATTGTGTTGAACGTTTTGATCACCATTGCCCTTGGGTGGGCCAATGTATTGGGCTGGTATGATTGTTGGTATTAGCCATGTTCTTGATGTTATGAGATAACTACTTTATTCATATTGATGTTCTTGGCTTGTTTGGTTTCTCTTAATTCTTTTATGGCTTTTCCAAATTGCAGAGGAACTACCGTTACTTCTTTCTGTTTGTTTCTTCAGCCACTATTCTATGTATCTATGTGTTTTCCATCTCAGCTTTTTACATCAAGGTTCTGATGAATAATGATCACGGGACAGTTTGGGGGGCAATGAAAGAATCCCCTGCATCAGTTATATTAATGGCATACTGTTTCATCTCTTTGTGGTTTGTTGGTGGACTTACTGGCTTTCATTTGTACCTTATTGGCACAAATCAGGTCAGTTGACATCTTTTACATTTCTGAATATATCTTGTTTAAGTTACTGTTCATTGTCCTAAAGACTAAACTGGCTACTAAGTGAATAAAAATGCATTAGTAGAATATGTCCTCGGTTAAACTAGATTGAAACAACACTCTTAAAAAATATTTTAATCTTCTAAATCCACCAGGCTCCTTATTTATGGGAAATAGTTCATTACTTCATGTTATGTGGACGTGCACACTATGATGAATGGGAAGGAATGAAATTTAAAGAAGATAATTTTAAAATCTTAAACTCGTGTCCCTCATACTTTTCCTTTCATCCAAGCAAGTAGCAATCTTAAATCTCAGAAGGTAATTCTATATGTTCTTTCCCTCATTCCAAAATACATTGATAGTGTGAGCTTGATTCACTTGTCCCAAGATGTGCGAAGAGTCATCCCCTATAGTGGTTTCCCGTAGTATGAAAGATAAATTATGTTCTATGTACACATTGCTTATAACAATACAAATTTATTTTCTGAATCTCTGATTCTTAAAAGCCCGTGTATTGCAAGAACTTGATCACCTGGTTGATTGTAACTTGTTTTGCAGACTACCTATGAGAACTTTCGGTACAGAGCCGATAACAGGTTCAATGTTTATAACCGTGGTTGTTTAAACAATTTCTTGGAAGTATTTTGTACAAAAGTGAAGCCCTCAAGGAACAATTTTCGAGCTTTTGTCCAAGAGGAGGTACCAAGGCCACCCCCTCCAATCATTTCCCGGGAATCTGAACAGGATATGGGAGGAGACCCTCGCTCTAAAGTTGAAGACGATCTGGATATTGGTGAAGACCTGTTAAAGATATCACAGCGCCGGAATATTGAAGAAATTGATGAGGACATCCGGAGTAGAGGGAGTAATGGGCCTCTCCATAATACATCTGAAGTTGATTCAGCTTTGGGTTCAGATCGCCGGGCCCCAACAATTCGATCCGAAGCAAGGCACTCAAGTGAGGGTAGAAGTGAAAGCTGGGAAATTGCCTCTGAGGTCCTTGCCAATTCAAATTTAACTGAAAGTAGAGGCCATGTTGCATCAAAGGAGGTGCGCCAAAAACTCGGTGGTTCTTTCTGATATGTGTGGTTACTTAGATATTAAAGGTGGAAAAGGAAATGGTGTTTGATCAGATTATAGGAATGGGAATTGAATTGATTGAGGCATTAAGTACAAAAACTTGTTTGATCTTTTTTGTGGTAAGCCTAGCTCTTTTGGAAAGAATAGAAATGTGTGTAATTTTCGAGAGACAGAGGAATAGTATCTTTTTTTCTTCTCTTTTCTTTGTTAATTGTTATCCTACTCTCCAACCTGTGCATTGCATCTTTATGTGGTTTTATTCTTTGTGTATATACCAGTTATGATGCTAAAACTCTCATACTGTGATTTAGGTATTGTAAAACTGATTCCTCCGCTAAATGCTTTCATTGTGCTACTACTACTATGATACAATGATGTGTGGGGATTTTGACGACTTTGTAAGGTTTGAAGAAGGCTTTTGGTTTTAAGTAGAGCCTATGATACAAGAACGGATTTCTATTGTTCATTATTTATTGGAAATTCTACCTTCCATTATTCTCAAGTGTCTTGGCAACTTTCATCAATTTGTGAGGCATCAGAACTCATTGTTTAACTTGAAAAACATGAAATTTAAAAATATGGTAAATAGTCTCCTATGTCTTTTAAGCATTCCCTTCATCATCCGTATGAACTTTTTCCTAATCTCCACTGTCTAACATCTCATTAACCTTTTGGGAATTGTTTGTATAGTTAATTTATGTTATCTAACTAAATGACTCACTTTTTTTAGTTGATACTCATTCTCACAACTATTAACCAATATGCTATCATCATTGTTCAATTCATTATATCTTATGCTTTTATGGAATCAGAGTTGGCCTGTGTGGTTGAGCTTTAGCCCACTAGTATTATTTAAGCACCTGAACCTTGATCATAACCTTCTCATGAAGAATTTTACCTTCCTATCACGTTAGATGAGAATGTGTTTTTCATATTTCTTTTTTCCTTTCACACTTGCCTCATTTGGGTTTACATAATCTTTCTATGGGGATACAACCTTTTTGGGTAGCATACAACATGCACATGTTTTTATTTAAATAATAATATTACTTAAGATCTATTGTCTCAACTATCCATTTTTAGTCTTGCGACCTCTTTTCATTTCTTCACAACTCGTGGAATTAGGAAATCTACTTTTTCTTCTTAACTTCAGGAGTTGCATGACCATTGTAAGTTAAGGGTGTTACTCAAACATAACAAAAGGACAAGGAGGTTCTTAACTTCACAAATGGAATAAATCACATAAAAACTATTTACAAAAGCAAGCCTTGGAAAGATAATGAGAGAGACGGTCAAAGATTCAAAGAAAGATTAGGGAGGACTAGAGAAACAAAAAGGATATATCCATAATTTTCTTGAGGACGTGTTTAGAAGAGTACAAAAACGAGCAATTGTAGAAAGACTTATAAAAGATAAATGTAATGTTTACCTTTTTTAAGGTAATCCAAAATTATTACAAGATAGGATTCACAGACATGATAACAACTAATTAACTAAATGTGTACAATGAATAGTAATCATGATATAGTCTACAATTGTTATTAGATAATCTACTCTTATATATATACAATTACGTAATGTATTCTATAAATATTTTAGTACAGTAAGATATGCAAATTTCACTTTGAATTGCAATCACTTTCAAATATAATTACTAATATCATTATATGTTCAACAAGTCCAAGTATTTTACGAACTTGCTCCTAAAGCTAACTTCATGAAAATATTTGTTGAATTCTTAGTGGTGTTGATTCTTTTTCACTTGAATCCTTTCCTTAGTATGAAAGAAGTAATATTTGATGTCGATATGTTTTGTCCTACCATGTTGTACATGATCCTTGGTTAACAAATCATATTCAAACTCTCGTAGAAGATGATCATCTTCTCTTAAGTAAGTATTGAATTGTTTATCAAACTCTTTAACCAAATAACTCCTTAATTACTTCTTCCAACACCATATGATTTGTTTTAGTGGTTGATAAGGCTACTATTGGTTGAAGTCTAGCTTTTTAACTAATTGTGACCTACCAACTGGGAACACGAAACTAGTACTAGATTGCATAGTAGCATAGTCAAAATCCAATAACTTTGTCAAAGTACATTGTAAAGTACCCTTGAAGGTAATTCCAATGTTCTCAATTCCCTTGAGATATTTTAAGATTATTTCGTGGCTTAACATTTCTTCTTCTTAGGGTTGCTCACATATCTACTCACCAAAATGACTACTTGAGCAAGGTTTAGTCTAGTAAACACTATCGCATACATCAAAGTCCCCACAATATTGGCGCAATAAACACAAAACATGTATTCCTTCTCTATATTAGTTTGAGTAGAATTGAGCTTAGAAATAGGTATAAACATTGTTATAGTTGTGCTTGTTACTAATGAGGAGCATTGGTATCTTGAAGATAATGAAGTTTTGATGATGTTAAAAGATGAAGAATTGAAGACTCTTGTTGTATTTACATTAAAAGCATTTTTGTAGAATTAATTGTATAAGAATAACTATGATGATGTAAAAGTACTTAGAAGTTTTCCTTTTTAGGGAGTCATTGCACAAATAATCGATTATCAATTGTAATAATCAATTATCAAGAGCCAAAGTAGAAAGAGATTGCTCGCGCAAATAATCGATTATCTCTTATCACTTTTTGAAAAACCACATAACGGACACAAATAATCGATTATCACTTATGATAATCGATTATCACTAGCAGTTGGGAGATGCCTTTTCAGTTTTTGACCAACACGAACCTGGGCTTATAAATAGAGGTCCTCACAGATCTTAGAAGTTGAATCTTTTCATTTTGAGAGTATTAGAGTTGTGTGCCTAAGGTAAGCTCTCTTAGAGTGAAAAGAGATCTAAGCCACTTGAGAATACATATATGTTTTGAGGAAGTTGTTAAGTGTTAGAGGTGCTCAAATCAAGTCTTGTGAATAGGAGAAGCTTGCACTTAGTGTGTCTAAGGTCAAAGCGGTTTTTTTCAAGTTGATTGAACATGTTCTTTTGTTCGTTTGTCGAAGGAAGGTGTTTTCTGTTCTTTATCTTTATTCATTTGATTGTAATTGTAACAACAATATTTTAGTGAAAAAGTTAATTACTATTTTAAAGTGATTAATGACTGGACGTAGAATCTTCTGATTTGAACTAGGATAAAATTCCTTGTGTTGATTTTCTTTAACTCTATCTCTTTAGCACTAAAGTTATTTGATAAAAGTCTTAAAGAAAATCAAGATTTTAAAAAGAACCATTTTATCGTGGCTATTGCCCGTAACACACTTTCCACTCGTTTATTAAACACTTTTACTCCATTGCTCGATATCGATTTTTCCAACAGTGCTCACAACTTTAACACTTTCCATTTCAAAATTACTCAACACCTTTTGAATGTATGACTTTTGTCATAAAAATCTCTTTTTCTAGAATTGATCACACTCGATTTCTGTCCCAAAATTATCTTATTTGCATCCATGTCCTTCACCTCAAATTTATTATCAAGTAGTGACTGTAACCTAAATGTCATGTCTAAAGCATCCATCTTTTGATAATTATTAATAATAACATGTTTTTCTATGTATAAAAAATTGTGTAAGACTAAAGTGAGAATTTGATGAAGTCTAACTCAATGTAAGATGCTTTTTTGAAAAACTTAGATGACAACTATGCTAAGTGTTAAACACATATCACTACCAAACAAAGTCTCTAAGCAAAAACATATAAAAAAAACTTAAAATATATCTCTTGTAGTCACAAAAGAATATACAAGACAAACACCTTAGATACAAACTATAAGTGTTTTACATAAACTTACATGTGAAGAAAATATACATGTCTTACATAAACTTACATGTGAAGAAAATTTCAAAGTTTCCAAGTGTTTATCCTTATTGTAGCATCTATTAGACATTTAGGATAAACTTTATTTGTAAAGCTTTCACAACTATGAAATTAAGACTTTAGAAATGAGGAGTGTTCTTTTATAATACCTCAATCAAGATATTGCTGTTCTTGTAAAACAACTGTACTATTGTATATCCTAAAAGATGCTTTATGAACTTAGCTTGGAGAGACATCGTGTACTAGTTACTTAATTTTGAGAGGATTAGTTACTATTCAAGGGTGATTTTGTATACTTAAATGAGTCGGACGTGTTAGCCAACAATACTTGTAATATGTTGTGATGAAATCTTTGTAGGCTAAATATTCATTATTTTTTTCTAGGTTTAATAGGTTCGGAGGTCCCTATATTTGCGGGTTCGTTTCACTTGGGTCCTCCAATTTTAAAAGTGATCAATTAGGTCCCTAATTTAACAAAATTGAGTCAATAATACCCTTTTCGTTAAATGCAAGGGAATCTGAATGCAAATTAAAAATTGCAGAAATTGCCACGTATTAAGCTCAAACTCTGCCACCTGCAAATAAAATGATGCCTCAACATGCCACCTGTTTAATTTGTATTCAGATTCCCTTGCATTTAACGGAAAGGGTATTATTGACTCAATTTTGTTAAATTAGGGACCTAATTGATCACTTCTAAAATTGGAGGATCCAAGTGAAACGAACCCGCAAATATAGGGACCTCCGAACCTATTAAACCTTTTTTCTATTGTTCACGTGGTCATCTTGGTTATAAAGGCTTTTACGAAAAATTTATAAACATGTTTCAAAATCTGTAGACGACTCTCATCAGAAATTTTTTTAAAGGGTTTATTCAAACTCTCTTTTTTCTTCACATGTAACCATTTTTTTTTTCATGTTACTTAATAAATTTATTTCACCATACATACAGATTCAACATAATATACGTAAACTTTTTTGTTATATTATAATTATATAAAAATTAATTTATTATTAAAAGAATAGGGATTGAAATGGAAGTATATTTTTTACTTTTATTTTTTAATTCCAAAATAAATAAAAAGGAATTATTTTGAGAAAATAAATTTCTAATTTAAGCTCAAACTTATATATAAAAAATACCAACTGTGAAACATAAAAGAGTATAAAAGAGTGAATGTTTATTTATAACTAATTCTCTATACTAAAAACATAATATTTACTATTAGTAAATACTTATATTTGCATTAAATGGTGGTAAAGTGGGAGGAATTTGATAAAATAAAACTTTTTTTTTTCTAAATACACAGTACATGCACAAAAATTTCTAAGATATATATAGTCATCTATTAGCAAATGAAGTTATCTCAACATAATATGTGTAATAGGTCATATAAAACAATAGGGTTATATTTAAATTAAAATTTCACGTGTAAAATAAGTAAAAAATTGAGATTCATTGATTATATAAAAGTATATATCTGCATTGGCATCCAATTCAATACTACAATTACCACTATAAAGTATCTTAATAACAATATGCAATAAAATCT